CTTCCTTCCCTTTTTGTTTTTTTGAGACAAGGTCTTGCTATGCAGTTCAGGCTGGACTTGAACTCACTGTGTAGCCCAGGCTGGCCTCAAACTCTCAGAAATCCCTCTGCCTCAGCCTTTCAAGTGCCGGGATTACAGACATGTGCCACCACACCCACCCTAGAACATTGGTTCTTAAATTGCAGGATGGTACGATACAATAAAGCATATAAAAATGCCATGTATTTTTACACATTTATATGTCATGTACACAACACATAGATCAAGGTGGAGACATTTTTAGTATACCATAAGTGTTCCATCCTTTCCCTTTCTACTCTATACTCTCATCCTAGATAACTACTATCACAACTTCTTGTCAATTATCCTTGTTCTCAAACTTCATATAAATGGAGTCCCTCATAAGTACATTTAAAAAATTTTTTTTCACTTACTATAACATTAGTGAAAGTTATGTATGGTGTAAGAGCACCAGTGGTTCATTAAATTGCTAAATTGTATTCTGTTTTTTAAATTTACTAAACTAGTAATATGTATTTAGGTATTGCATTATACAATTTACTTATCCATTCCCCTGTTGATGGGCATTTGATGTATCTTGCATTTTTGGCTACTATGAATAGAGGTTCTACAAACAGTCTTGTATGGAACCCATTTCACAACACATACTCATTTCTCTCAGATATATGTCCAGGAGTGAAACTCTTGGTGCACAGGGAAGATGTGTGTTTAGCTTTAGCATAAACTGCCAAACACTTTTTCGAATAGGATATAATATTTTATACTCCTGTCAGCTCATGTACAGGAGTTTCAGTTATTCTACCTCCTTGCCAAGTCTTGCTCTTCTTAAGTTCTGTACATTTTAGGTACTCTCATGTAGAGGTATCTCACTGTAATTTGAATCTGTGTTTCCTTGATATAAATTATGATGTTGTAACAATTTTTTAAAAATTAACTTTTGGGTATTTTTCTTTAGTGACAGGCCTATATAACACTTTCTCATTTTAAAATTGAATTTTTTGTACTTTTCTTATTGATTTACATATATTCTGGATATGAACCTTTTTCAGGTACAAAACAGGAAGAAATTTGATTAAAATTATTCCATATTTTGGCATAATGTCTGACCTTGTCTATTTTTGAAAAGGGAAATAATCCACTATTATCCTGTATTAGTTTTCAGACCAGACAGAAAAAAAAGATGCTGTGTTTTAGTTGAAAAAGAATTCTTTGAAAATAAAGGAAATGTTTAGACAGCAAAGTGATAGTCCCACAGTATTTATCTTCTTTGCATAAATAGTCTTCTTTTTGGACAACTGGCCCTTTATTTAGAGGCCCTTTGTATTTTGAGATAAGCAGCAGGAGCTGCTGGAACTGTATGATAATTCTATTTTGTGGTAGTCATGACAGGGCAAAGAATCTTATACTCTTCCTTTTTCAAAGCTGTCCCGACATACAGATCATAAAGGGAGAATTCCTTCATTTAGTTAGAATGGATAATTTATTGCTAAAGGGGCAGTTGGCATTAATCTAAACTGAAAAACTTTTTAAAGTAATGATTTTCCTCATTGACGTGGGTAATATCTTTGCATTTTAGACTATTTTGGAAGTTATTTTCATACAGTTTAGCCAAGCCAGCACACAAGGCTGTTGTCTGGGATTTTTCTTTTCTTTCTTTTTCTCTTTCTTCCTTTTCTGTCTCTTCTCCCTCCTCCTCTTCTCCCTTCTTCCCCTCCCTGCTTTATCCTTGGGATTGACCCAGGGGTTCTCTACCATTGGGCTGCATCTCCAGCCCTTCTTATTTTTAGATAGGGTCTTGCTAAGTTGCCCACAGTGGCCTTGAACTTCCTGCCTCAGATTTTCAAGTAGCTGGGATACAGGTGTATGACAGTCTGCACCTGGCTGGGTTTCTTCTGGACATCCATGTTCAGAGAACATTTGATTGGACCAAGGGATGGAAGCAACTGTAGTGTGCACACTGCCATTTATCCATTTATGGCTTCCATGCCCACATTAGACACAGCTATTGGGTCAAGACACTTTCCCAGTTTGTCCAGGTTCAGGACTCCACTGTTACACAGTCTGAATTGCCATTTGGGGTAGAGTCTATTCATCCCTGAACGGATGAACACAATAGGCAGGCTTGGGAGCATAAAATAACCCATAAGAAGTCAGCTTGGAGCACACATGAGAGAAGAGATCTGATCATACTTTATTCCCTTGGTAATGGCCCATGAGGAGCTTATGGGTTCATTGTAGATGCATATATATTGTTTCTTGATTTAAAAACAAATCCAGAAAAATGAAAGTCCTTGTCTCCCATGAGGCTGCTTTCCTGAGTAGTTCGATCATACAAATATGGGTCATCTCTCTCCCTAATGACCAAAGCTCTGCTATTTATTAAGTCCTAGATGTGTCTGTAGAATAATTTCAAAAAACATGGTTATACATTATTATTTATACTCTTACATTAATCACTTCCATATAGCTTCTTCATTTACTCTTACTTATTCATCATTTCATAATGTAATTGTAAATTACACCCATTTGTTCTATAAATTATTTACTGACTACTTGCTTGGCAACATCATTCTGTGGTAGGCTCCTTCTTTCCAGAAACATAGTTTAGTGGCAACTTCAGAGACACAGTGTCTTTATAAACTTTACATATAAAATGAGTTAAAATACACCTATATACATGTATGCATAATGTATACATTATATATATATATATGTATATATGCATCAACTACATGTTTTGTTTTGTTTTGTTTTTGGTACCAGGGATTGAAGCATCAAATACATGTATACACATTTTACCCATTATGTCAACATAATACTTGCTAACATATAATAAGATAGAGTTATCTCCCTCTTAAAAGAAGAAAAAAAGCTGGCTTAGAAATTAAGCATTTTATCCAGGTGTGGTGGCATGCTCCTGTAACCCTAGAACTTGGGAGGCAGGGGCAGGAGGATCACTGCGAGTGCAAGGCCAGCCTGGGCTACATAGTGAGTTCAAGGCTAGCCTGAACTACATAGTGAGACCCTGTCTCAAAAAAAAAAATCAAACTTTCCCCCCAAGAATATATACAACTGATAAGTGGTCAACATGAAGCTCAAATGCAATGCAGGCTTAAGTTCTGACTCCAAGTCATTGCACACCTTCAAGCATTCTAAATACACACTGGCCATGCAATGATGGGGCAGGATGCAAGTTCAAGGGTGACCCCTGAACCTTGCTACACCAGAGAAGGACTAAAGAGAGAGAATTTTCTTTTGCTCACACACCTTTTTCACAGCCCCCAGCTTTCTCAGTTGTTACTCTGCATTGCAACTGGCTACATACTCTTGAGTGTCTTCCTCACTAACATGGTGATGGTGATACTGGCTCGTTACCATTTTCCAGGAATTTGAGAAAGGATGAAAGAGCAGCTGTTTATTGTGCTAGAAATCGTTCATGATATTTAATAATGCAATATCAGGACTTAACAGTCCTGGCCACATTATTTCAATTAATATGTGTTAGAAACCTCTGAGGCAGTTATTTTTAGTGCTGGGAGAGCAGCTAAGGGGCTTCCCCATGTTTGAAAAGCAAGGAAGTAGTGGAGTCGGAAGTAGTTTGCCTAAAACTGACCCACCTTGCAACATGTTAGGCTTACAAGTAAAAGCAGATGTGTGATATGACCAGATCTTATTCATACCCATCTCTGGTGAGTAGGGTCAGGTGGCCTATAACCATATTTTGAAAAGCACTAAGAAAATAACTTCTTATATTGACTTTAGAGCATTAAACTCTTTCTTCAATTCTGACAAACACGCCATGAATTGAAATTTTCTAAAAGAAAAAGGGCCGGGGATTTAGCTCAGTGGTTCCGCCACTTGCTTTGTAAGCACAAGGCCCCAAGTCCGATCCCCTGCACCAAAAAAAAAGTAAAAGAAAAAGAAAAACCTTCCAATAAAATACTGACAATAGCCATTATTCTATTTTTTATCTCTTCAAAATGGGAAGTTAAAACATTAAAAATATGGTAAAATATGAATACAAAGAAATATGAACTATAGGATCATGGGTAAGAGCTAGTTACAGAAGAAAACCTCGCTGTTATTTCTTAAACGTAGCAGTGGAGTGAGAACGTGGTTCCTGGTGGTGTGAACCACGCATGAAAAGGGAGGAGCAGGGGAAAGGGACTGGTCACTCTTCTCAGTAAAGTGTGATGCATGCTAACATTTGACAGTTTGGGCAATAATCTTTTGCATTATTTTAATAAATATGCATTGCCCTCAATATCATGAGCCAATAAAAAGACTTAATGATGTCAGTGCCAGAGAGAAGAAAAGATAACCATACTGAAGATGATTAAATAAGGCAGCCTGTGACAAAGTTCCAGAATGTGTGGCATAATCAGTGAGAATAGCAGGAAGTGACCCTAAGGTCAGTGTGGGAAGGTGCATTTTGGGAAGGCTTCTTCATGAATGAGGCAGCTATACTGAGCCTTTAAGATGGAGAAAGATTAGTCAGGAAAGAATGAGGAGAAGACAGATTTGGGAAAGGGCATTCCAGAGAGTTGTATTTGCTTGAGCAAAAGGCTAGGGATAGAAATCAAAATGGTATTCCATGAAGTCATTGATTTGAGAGGATTTTTGTTGGAACAACAGAGATGATGTCACAAAACTTTGCTGTGTTGTTGTTGTTAGGGGGACAAAGTCTCATCCTATAGTTCAGTTTGGCCTTGAATTTGCAATCCTCCTGCCTCAGTCACCAAGTGCTGGGATTACAGGCATGCATCACTACACCCAGCAAAACAAAACATTTTTAAAGCCAATTCTAAAATAATCCAGTGGTGGTGAACTTATGGCACGTGTGCTGCAGCAAGCTGATTGTTATCACTGAAAGCTCTAAAAGGTTCGCCATTGCTATATTATAGACTATCTCCTGCTAGGTAGAAAATACAATTTCAAAAGAACCCTGGCCACCTCAGCTGTTTTTGTCCACCTTACAGGGGAATGTGTTTAACACCTGGAAACCCATGTGGATGGTACTGTTAGAAGATGGAATTGAATTCTATAAGAAGAAAAGTGACAACAACCCTAAAGGAATGATCCCCCTGAAAGGAAGCATTGTGACTAGCCCTTGTCAGGATTTTAGCAAAAGGATGGTGAGTTGACGTCACAGACCACAGTGAACCTCATGCTACATGCAGACCTCATGTACATGCATAGCTTGCAGTTGAGCAGTGCTCACTGGATGAGCCCTTTTCACAACCACCCATGCTTCATTCTGATGTTTGGGTCTGTCTTTGTTAGAACAGGTTTGAGTTGACTGCTGTGGTTCATGAAGGGCCTTAGCCTTTGAAATGGTCATTTCTAATGGGATGTGTTTAAATTTTCAGTTTGTGTTTAAGATCACGAGCATCAAACAACAAGACCAGTACTTCCAGGCAGCCTACCTGGAAGAGAGAGATGCTTGGGTTCGGGACATCAAGAAGGCCATCAAATGCATTGAAGGAGGCCAGAAGTTTTCAAGGAAATCCACGAGGAGGTCCATTCGTCTGCCAGAAACCGTTGATTTAGGGTAATTCTGTGTTTGCTTTTTTCTACCTTTTCCCTTTTTCCCCCTTCTTTCCACTGAAGGGAAGAACACAACAGATTCTGCTCCAAGGTTTGTTTTAGCCACCTCTGGAAGTCTGTGTCTCCTATGCTGAGTTGATACTGATACTTGGTGGACTAAGATGTTTCTCTGGACCTGGACTGATTATAGTCCCTCCAAGGCCTAGGAGTTGAGGAGAGGTATAGAGATTAATGGCATATAAATGGCCTTATATTAGGTAGCTGGAGAGAGTGGGGAGAGAGAGGGGGGGAGAGAGAGAGAGAGAGAGAGAGAGAGAGAGAGAGAGAGAGAGAGAGAGACTCATCATTTCATTTATGAAGTAACTAACCATAATAATTTAGTCTAGAAAGAAAGTTTCAAGGGTAGGTGTCGTGGCGCATACCTAGAATCCTAGCACTCTGGAGGCTGAGGCAGGTGTATTGGCACGAGTTCAAGGCCAGTCTGAACTACATAGCAGACCCTGCCAAAAAAGAAAGGAAGCAAGCAAGCAAGAAACCTTCAGGATCTCTACATAGCAAGGAAAAGAAAATCATGCTGGCTGTTTAAAATGTTCAACAAGAATTCTGTTTACATGTGGTGGGATGTAGGAAAGTGTCCCTGAGAAGGGACCAGAGACACCTTCTGCAAGATTAAGACCAGATATGGCCTGCCGCAAGAGTAAAGTTTGTGCACTGAGCTCAGTGGTAAAGCTTTTTGGTAAAGACCCAGGAGAAGATACCTGGTCTAGTTGCAGCTGCTGACTGGGCTCATCAAGTGATCATATTCCTAGCCAGAGCTATCACACCTAAATGGCAATAATGCTCAAACTGTGGGACCACAGAGTACATGCAAGTGGCCTTCTGTTTTGTGCCTTAGAATTTCTCTGAAAGGACAAAAACGAGAACTTCTTACTATTTTGCCTTCTTCCATCATTTTAAAAATAAGAAACTTGGAGGAAATATTCACTTTCTTGGAGGCAAATGTCTACAACAGATGGTCTCTTAAAGATCTTTAAAGAACTGAGGGACCATGTTAATCAGCCTTCTGTTACTGTAACAAATACCTGAGATAGCAATTTATACAAAAATAGGTTGTTTTTTGGTTCACGATTTTTGAGGTTTCCGTCTATGGTCTGAATGGGCCCTTTGCTTTTAGGCTTCTGGTAGATGGGAAGGCAGCACATCATGGCAGGAGCTCATAGCATAGCAAAACAGCCCACCTCATGGTTAGGACATGGCAGAGACAGTCCAGAGTACTGCAATCCCCTTCGTGGGCATGTCCCTCAATGGCCAGTTCTCTGGCTAGATCTCATCTCTTGAAGTTCCCACCACGTCCCAAGAGCACCAATCTGGGGACTAAGTCTTTAACACAGCCCTTTGGGAGACATTCCAGTTCCAAACTGTAGCAGAGACCTTAAAGATCTAGGATGTACATGCAAAATTGGCCCTAAGAAATTTCAATCTTTGGCACCTAACTCAGGGCACTACTCCATCTCAGGCCCTACAAGTTAAATCAGCAAAGAGCTTAATGAATTTAAGAGACATTAAGTAACTTCCTACTGCATTTTGGTAATGCTCTGCAGGCCACAGAATTACACAAATACAAATGCTGCCCTTTAGCTACTTATGGTCTGGTGGTGAGATTAGGCTTAGGGGCTGCCCAAAGGTGAGGGGCAGGGAAGCTGGTGCTCCAGGCCATTCCCTGCAAGGTGCCACCTCCCAAGGGAACTCACTATTCTGAAACACTCTCCACTTATCTACCTGTTTTTATCTCTTTGCAGTGCCTTGTATTTGTCCATGAAAGACACTGAAAAAGGAGTGAAAGAATTGAACATAGAGAAGGACAAGAAGATTTTTAATCACTGCTTCACAGGTAAAAGGACTTGTGTGCCAGAAATGGAGCAACTGGGGAGGGAATATAGAGTTCTCCTTTAGCAGTATGTATGGGGTTTTGGGGGTGGAGCCTGGTGGATAGGTGGGGTCAGGGAATACAGATTAGTGAGCTTAAGAATTGAGTTTCCCTAGTGCAGAAACAGAAAGAGGGTTCAGAGAAAAAAAGATTATTGTTCAAGATAACATTTCAGAAGTTTTAGCTAAATCAACTAAAGGAACTTTTTTACCAAATATATGGCACATTATTTTGAGAATTGTTAAAGGATAGAGCTGGGTAGAATGCAAACCTGTAATAAACTGGGATTAAGACATATAGTATAAAATTTAAATGACAATATTAAGGAGGACAGGTTGCACAGCATAAGACATAAGATGTTACAAATTCAGGTAGTGTGGTGTAATGGTTAAAACATGTTCATTGGAACCAGACTACCTTGGTTCAATTCCTGGCTCTGCAACTTAGTAGCTGTGAAACCTTGGGCCAGTAATTTAGCTTCTGTATGCTTTACTTTCCTGCCCATAAAATGGTGATATTTGCAGTTTACTTGCTTTGTATGTTTGCTATTATTGTAGAACAGTGCCTTGCACAGCCCAAGTGCTATATAGGCCAAACTCTCAAGTGAAAATTATTACATAAGAGACTACATATCTACATAACAGTTCCATGAGTTCAGGAAAAAGTTGAGAGGTTGTTGGAGTAAACAGGAGGAGGTACCTAAATTTGACACTGAAATATGGGTAACAATTTGGGGAGAGGATTTCTACACAGAGGATGGTGAGGACAAACTATGGGATAGAGCTGTGCAGAATATGCATCTGAGAAAAGAAATTGACCAGCTTGGTAGGATTAATTATTCATTATAGGGAATGCAATGGTTTGTACAGTTTGGCAGTAGTTTGTTGGAAACTGGGTATGGTTTACTTACTGTGATGAGCGATGTCAAAGGAAGAAAATCCTGAGAAAATACAACAGATTTAGAATCTGAGATTATGTCAGATCAACAGATAATCCATGAAAATAGTCCTAGTCAGGGTTAGGAAGAGGGTGTGATCAGTTTTAACAGAGGAACATCCCATAAGGATGAGCCTCAGAGTGTTCAGGCAGCAGCCTGTTAGCCTTGGGTGAGTCAGGGCTGAGATGTGGGATAAGACACCAACCCATGGTTGGTGGTCAGGGAAACTGACAAGAGCAGGCAGAATCCCCACTGGGGGCACTATGACAGCCTCTAGCAAAGGGAACAGGAAGAAGTTTCAATGTAGATCGGGGAATGAGACTTGGCCCAGACTTATTTCTTGTGTAACATGTTCCTGAGTCCCAGGGTATTGGGCTAGCATTACAGAAGTCCTTTCTATTGAAAGTCTCGGTAGGTTCTGGAAATTTCTGTGGGTGGATCCTTCATAGGATGCAGGTGGCTTGAGCTGAGAGACTGAGGTACAGACTTGAGACCTGGACAGTGGTGACATGTGATAGAGGAACCTGAAAATCAGGTGACAAGGAGACTGGGCAGAGTTTGTCTTATAAGCTTTAGCATGCCCAGCTGAACAAGCATGGACTCAAGAGTGGGAACATGTAAATGTGAAGGGCCAGCATAGGTGCAACTTAGTCCTAAGGTCATTTAAACTCTGAATCTTAATCTTCTCAACTTTCAAATTGGGTGTATAATTACTGCCCTACCTGTTCTATAGGGTTTCTGCGAGTGATTAAAGTAGAAGTGCAGAACTAGTTCATTTTTCTGTGCAGAGAAAGACTTTTCATGTATGAAATTCATTGAAGGCTCACTAACCAAAAGTTCCTCCTGCTGAGTTGAGGGTGGCCTACCTGGTGCTCTGACTTGGGTGACCCAGCCGGCTCTGTCATTGCTGTACTTGGAAAAAACACACTTTTATGAATGCAAAGCTTTGGTTTAGCCGCTTACAAGCCAAGTGATGGGCCAATTTCGTTTTATTCCCTTTGCCCTCTCTTGATGCAGAAGTTTGATTAAATGACTTCTGGAGGTCCCTAGTGAGGCGTAACCATCAATGCAAGAAATGTCATCATATTTTATTTCAGGACACGCAACCCATCGTGTTATGTGCTGCTTAAAAACTTGCAATGGGTCCTCATTGCCAACTTCCTAAATGTAGCATCACAGCTCTCCCCACCCTCTCTGCATCTTCCTCCTCCTCTGTCTCCTTCTGCCTTCTTTTTGCCAGCACCGCCCCTTGCCCCACGGGCTGTTGCACGCCTGCACGCCTCTGTTCACACTGCCGCCTTCTCACCTGGGCTGGGTGCGCTCAGCCCCTATTTCACATGCTTGCAAACACCTACTCGCTTTTTAGGTCTCAGCCCAGTGCCACTTTCGTTATAAATGTTCTTCCTGACAGAGCATGGCAGTCCCTTCCTTTTCCTTTCCCCCTTCTGTATCATCACACTTGACCCAATAGTTCAGCAATATTGACGTACAGCAGAGTGATTACTATAATACTTACTTATCACCTATTTCTCTCTTTAAGATTCCCTGAGTGAATCTGCCCAGTCCCCTTCAGACTACCTATTGTTTAGTAGATGCTCAACAAATGCTTCTTAATAAACTGAGTTGATAAAAATGATTTCTTAATCATGCTTCTTAAGCAGCATGTAAATGTTTTTCAAAACCCTTCACATGGCTCCTTTTGTTTCCAGGCATCTGCCCCACTATTTTTTCCTTTTTGGAATAACAGGGAAAATGAAACAAGTTGGACACTTGGGTGCTCTGGAGTCTGCAGGGTGAGGGTCAGTGCCTTGTTCCTTGGGAAGGAGAGTTAACCTTCCTTCTGATGGTCCTGTCCAGGTAGCTGTGTTGTTGACTGGTTGGTATCCAACAAGTCAGTTCGGAATCGCCAGGAAGGCCTCATGATTGCTTCATCGCTGCTCAGTGAAGGATACCTGCAACCTGCTGGGGATCTGTCCAAGAATGCAGCAGATGGAATCACTGAGAACCCTTTCCTGGACAACCCTGATGCCTTCTACTACTTTGTAAGTGAAAAAAGCTACCAATCTATCCCTGTAGTGAGGGGTGCCCAGGGCAGATTCTCAGTTGATTTCAGTTCATAGCCCCTGTGCAAAGAAAGTGCTCACAGCTCTACAGAAAGCTGTCAGCTGAGGGGCTGCTGTCAGCTGGGGAGAAAGAGCCAGGAAGGTCTGAGGTCACAGAGCTTCTCTAACCCCAGTGCTTCCCACACTTGACAGCTGTTCCTTTTGCACTTTGCCCTGTCCAAGTGAATCAGGAGAAAGAAAACAATTGCTGCTGGAATTGTTTTCTTTAAATTGATTTTTTTAAACTTTACTATTTTCATTCTTATTCTAAGCCATAATTCACTAATAATAATTTATTAGGCTACAGTACATGACTAGCACTCTGTTAGACAAAGGAGATAAAGCGGGGGGAGGGGTACAGGCAAAAATTCTTGCCCCTGTGGTTTCTTTTCTAGAGGGCAATCAATAAAAACCATAGTGTGATTAGCTGGTTGTATTGTTTTCAAATGTACTTTAAATATGTTACAATACAGAATGTGTTTGTGCGTCTCACTTCTTACAGTCATCTGGGATATCTCCCGTGGTTCGTTTACTGGAGATTGGGAAATGCCATTACACAATATGAGCCTAATCTTGGGCCATGCTATAATTCCAGAAAGAGAGAATTTTTAGGGAGATTTTGGCAATTTTGGGTCAGACTATAGAAGTTAGGAAGCTATTGAGGGCCATCTGACTTACAAAAATGAAGTGGCTGTCCCAGACAGTTTCATCTCACTTTAGGGGAAGTTCCACTGTCAGTACCTTTTTTTCTTCAGACCTTTGCTCTGGCTATTTAAACCCATTTAAATTTGGCTATTTATTTAAAAATACCCACCACAGTGGCCCTCTTCCTCTCTCTGATTCGCCACTTGCTTATGCTGTGCACGTCCTGGTTCCCTCCTGACTTCAAGGGTTGAGGCTGGGCACGTGCTCTTGGTCTCTCAAAGCAGAAGGGGCTAAGTGGCAAAGGTGGTGATGGAGAGACAGCTGTGAGGTGTCTTATACATTTAGGCACTCTGATCTCAAGGACGTGTCCATGAGGTCTTGAGAGAAGGAAGGCTTGGAAGGCAGAAATGTACTCAGTGAGAAAAATTGAGCTAGACCTAGGATATAGCTTAGGAAATCCTACAAAATGAAAGAATAGGGATAAGATCACACCCGAGGGGGATAAAAAGGAGCAAGGTGGAAACAAGGAAATGGAGGAGGAGAAACCAGCTGACCAAGGACAACCTGTCCTAGTGGCTGGAGGGGAGGGGGAAATGGAAATGGTACATGTAGCAACAGGCCTAAGACTAGTAAAATCAACTTGCTGCTTGGTCTCTCCATAGCCAGACAGTGGATTCTTCTGTGAAGAGAATTCCAGTGATGATGACGTGATTCTGAAAGAAGAATTCAGGGGGGTCATTATCAAACAGGGATGTCTGCTGAAGCAGGTGAGTGGCTGCCACCATTCCCTTCTGGCCTTCCCCCTTACTGGGCCTGTTTTAAAAAATCTAAATTACCGGGCCAGGGATTTAGCTCAGTGGTTTCACTGCCTGCTGCACAAGGGCAAGGACCTGAGTTTGATCCCTGGTACCCCCCCCCAATCTAAATTACCAAATGGGGTCTAAATTATTTGGCTAATAATCAACTAGAAACTGAAATCCACAGACTGAAAGATAGACAGAGAGCTAAGTAGATAATTAAAATGGCATCTGGTTAGTAGAACTAAGGCAGGCAGTGTAGAAGATGCCCCTAGAAATAGGAAAATACTTCTTTTATCAGTCACAAGAAAAATAAAGCCCTTTTAAGTGGCAAGAGGAAATAAATTGGCTAAGAGATGCCATCCAAAGATAAAGATGTTTCATGGCTATTTAGCCTCCTCTCCTCCCTTCAAAGAAACCAGGAAATAGAAACAGGTGATACCCAGAAGGAAACATCATATATCTTTGTGAGCAAGGAGGTACCATTTCAGGCTGAGGGTGAGGCGTGGGGAGACCAAAAGCCAGGATACAGATAAGGCCACCTCCACAGGAATAGCAGGCAAAGAACGCAGTCTGGGGGTGGTTACATGTGATTACCCAGCATCCACAGGTACACCACCATCCAGCCACCAGCAGTCTGGGAGGCAAGGGCTGGGTGAGCTGATGAGACAGCTTCCAGGTGCCAAGGCACATGAGGCTAAGAGTTGAGAGATGACAAGGGCTGGGGATAAACAAGGAAGCCAGGGCCAGCTGTTACTAGGAGAAGTAGCAGGAAGACATGGGAAAATTCAGGATGAAATTTAGAGGGCCAAAATCTGGCCTTCCTGGCTGTGCTGGGGGCTGTTTTAAAAGCACTGCTCAGTATACAATGCAGAGAACTTGGTGGCTGTAAAGAGATGTCTGTACACTGTGTATAGGTCCCATGTGACGCAGAGAATTGACTTTCTTCACATTAGAAAGTGCCCTAGATTTCATCTTCTTCATAATCAGTGGAGGGCAAAGAGAGGTGAATCAAAGCAGAGTATGTATTTACACTTAACTAGAGAGGCTGTGGGCTTGTTGAGGTTAAGTAATGGCATGGATTTTGAATTTCACTGGAATGGTGAGTTAGTGTGGAAAAATTACCTTAACATCAAGTTTTAGGAAAACAGGGTCCTAAGAAATACACAGCAAGGCCTGGGGATTTAGCTCAATGGTTTCACCGCCTGCTGTGCAAGTGCAAGGACCCAAGTTCGATTCCCGGTACCAAAAAAAAGAAATATACAGCAAGAATTTAGAAATAATCTGTGGCCCTATTCTAATACCTTTTTATGACAGGGTAACGAATTGGCTAGATTAAAGCAAAGGTTAGGGGCAGAACAGCCTTCCATAGGGGAGGCTCTGATGGAGTTTTCCCATTGCTGGTTTCCTCACTGGTTCTGGCATATTCCTATGCTCTTGGCCCTTTGATATCAGGTGCTAGAAGGTAGTTGTAAAGAAAAGAGTAACTTGAGAAGAACTTCTATTATTTGCTTATTTTATTGATTCATTCTATAATTAGTTGCAGTGCTGGGAATCAAATCCAGGGCCCGTGCATGTTAGGCAAGGGCTCTCCTACTGAGCCACACCTCCACTGAAAGCCCTAAACTCAAGAGAGGCTCTTAGAAAACTGAGCATGAGGGGCCAGAGATTTAGCTCAGTGGTTCCACTGCCTGCTTCGAAAGCACAAGGTCCCGAGTTCAATCCCTGGTACCAAAAAAAAAAAGAAAAAGAAAGAAAAAGAAAACTGAGCATGAAAGTTGATAAAGGGTAGATAACATCGGGGCTGGACTGGCACCATGTCTGGATAGAAAACTTGGTAGGAGACCCTGAATGGTCCAAAACTGGCTGAAGGAATGGCTGCCTGAGTGTGTGTTGAAGATGACAGGGACTAGAGTAAACATCGATAGGTGTTTTCTTTTTTTTCTTTTTTTAGTTCTTTTATTGGTACATTTTAGGTATAAAATCCGTTTACATTTATCATTGGGTGTTTGTACCTGTACATGATGTATCTTGGTTCTTATTTTTTTCCCCATTACCTGTGTGCCCTTCATTCCCTCCACCCTTCCCTATTTACATAGATTTCATTTCCATTTTTTTTTCTTTTCTCATAGTTTTTCCTTTCCTTCTTTTCCTTTCCCCTTCCCCTCCCTTCACTCCTTCGTCTTTGGACCTTTTTTCCTATTTCAAATTATCAATTATTCATTTTAATCATTTTAACCCTTGTTTACATTATCAGTTTCTCACACTAGTGAAACTATTCGGTATTTACACATGTGTGTCCTATTTATTTCACTTAAGAGTATGGCCTCGATATGCATCCATTTAGCTATAAATGACTCTAGTTTTTTGTTCTTTATGGCTGAGTAGTACTCCATTTAGATAGGTGTTTTCTTTTGCCTTCCTTTACTCAGCCTTTGATAGGTACATCTAGGTAGGCCAGTTGGTGCACATTTGAGCATGCTGGGGAGCTGTTAAAACTGCACGCCCAGTCCAATTAAATCCGAACCTGGATTTTTGCAGTTCCCAAATGATTCTGATATGCAGCCAAGGCTGAGAAACACTAAGCTAGTCTTCATAAAAGCTAATTTATTCTATTCTCAAAATACAACTATGTAGACCGTCACTTTTATAAGCTTCCTTTTTACATAAAAAAGACAGGAATCTGTATATTCAGGGATTTGGTTCTCACAATGGGCTTCCATTCGGGGTGGGAGCAGTGGTGATGGTATGAGAGAAAAGCAAAGCCCTTTACTTGAATTGGCATTTCCCTTTTTGTTTCTGACCTCTTGCTCAATGGTTAGTGACCCTGTTACAATTTAAGAATCATTTAAAAGAAGTAAAAAAAAATTTTTTTTCTTTTTAAGTTCCACAAAAAGTAAACTGTCTGTCTGTCTGCTGCTGGGAGTTAACCATGGGCAACTTCCACAGAAAGACTTCTCATGAAAAAGGATACTTGTGTTCCACACTTCACAGGGGAGAAGTAGCTGGGTCTACCTGAAGGACCATTTTCCCCTCCCCCATTCTCCCCATTTCTATTTCAGGAGAAACAATCTACCTGATAAATGGAGCCAGTTTGAGAATCACTGGTCTGGATTATATTCAGTATAATGCCCCTTATATAATTTTTTAAAGAATTAACAAATTTTCAAGTGGTTTAATTTTAACCACATGTAGCTTCCTTGAGGGAAAGGACAATGTGTTACATGTGCTTTGTTTCAGCTGCAGAGTTCAGCACCCTTTTTGTTCTAGTATAGGCAATAAACACTTGCAAATTAAATTAAATTAAATATAAGTAGGTGTTTAGGAATTCAGTAACAAGTCTTGGGAAACTCAGGCACGCATACCTTCCTTAAAATCCTTCTGGAAATACTCATTAAATGAAAGATGACCAGCCACATGCTTTAGCAGGCCATACTGTGATGCCAGTGAGGGCTTCAAGGGAATATGGTAACTGGCCAGTGTTAGGTGATTTCACATCTTTCCTGTTACCGTCCTCTTCCAACTGATGGGGTGGTCACCCAGCAGTTATGTAAGAGTGCATGACCTGTGTGTCTGCAGACAAAGAGGAAATGTTGAGGGGTGGCAGCTTTAGTGTTTATATCTCATGAGCAACATTAAAACAAAGAACAGGGATTTATACTTATAAGCTCATGCATCGCAAAAGCTCTTCTGTATATGATGAAGCCAACAGAAATATTTTCTGCCCCTCGATGTGACACTACAGGGTTGCTGGCTCCATCATTCAGGCAAAGAAAAGGTTATTTGGAAATGAGTTTCTTGAAAAATGCTTGGCCAAAAAACTTAGGCCCACTCTTGAACGTTCTCTTTAAATTCCTCTGACAGAAGCTCTGTTTCCTAAAACCACCCATGATACATTGCTTTCTACATAAGCACAACAAAAAATGAAAGAAAATTAATCTATATGTTAATATGTGGCACTTTGGAGACTACAAACAATATTCTTTGTATTCGCAAGGCTGAAACTGTTTATCTTCTAGTCTAATACTTTTTCCGGTTTCTGGTTTTATTTAAAATTATTGCAATTTTCTATGGTAAAACATAGTATCATGTTAACCGGGACATTTTAATACCTGCTATAAGCTAATTGAAATAACTTGATAATTTGTAGCAACTACTGCCAGATGTGGAACAGCTTCCATGTGCCAGGCACTGTGCTAAGTACTGCAGCAAAGATAAATAGGAGACAAATCCTGCCCTAAAAACTCACAGTCTGTAGCTGATGCCAATGTTTAATTCGACTGAGAACAGCCAAGTTCTGTTCTCCTATTTTCATCATGTCTGTTAGAGCCAAATTCATTTCCTTTTTACTGCTGCTACCTAAGGTTAATTCCTAATAAATTTATACCTCAATCACTGCAGTCATTTTTTAATGACCTCTTTACTTTATTATTTTCCTCTTGGCTTTCCTTTAATCTATGCAGCTGGTATGTTTCATAACTTGTCACCATGAAATGGTATTGAAATCATTATGTACAACTGAATTGCAATCTCACTTCCTACTCAAAAGCCCTCAGCAACCGTCCCCACCTTTTCTTCTCTTTTTCTCTAAGCCCTGCCTGCTTCTCCAGCCTTGCATCTGCTCCTCCTCATCTACCCTCCATTTAGCCAGACTGGTCTTCTTCACCAGTGTTCCCTCGTGGCTTGAGCATTTGTACCTCTGAGTGTGTGTTGTCATAGTCTTCTCACCCATCTAAATCCTGTGTCCCACATGGATAAGTCAGTTTAGGTCTTTATGAGGCTTCGTTTGACATCCAAAGCCCACAGCTACACATTCCTTATTTAATTCCTTTGAAACCAATTATTTGATCTGGACTTTGCTATTTCACATTTCCATATAGGTCATAAATTCCTCAGATTGTAGGATCACATCTTAAGCCATTTTATATCCCTCTCATTGCCTAATATAGCACAGTACCAGTACATGACACTGTCATACATTATACTAAAGCTGCAAAAGAAGCTTAGAAATAATTTAATTCATCTATTTAATTTAATACTATAATAACCAACTTATTAATTAGCACTGTGTTCCTGAACGAGATCTCGATCAAGGGCTGGATCTCCTGAAGTGGGTGTTTTTTCTTTTTTTAATTCAGCAAAGACTTATCACTTAGGCACCTGCATGCAGAGTCATTCTAGGAACTCATCCTGCTTTGTTTTATGTTGTTCCTGGATACAGGGGCATCGGAGGAAAAACTGGAAAGTGAGAAAGTTCATTCTGAGAGAAGACCCTGCCTACCTACACTACTATGACCCGGCAGGGGTGAGTGACATTCTTTGCTATTTACATTTATTCAAACAGAAGCCTCTTTTGCATTTATGAGGTATGTGTCCCACTCCCCTTTCAGCTCTGCTGATATTTCTATCTTCTCTTCACCCCACTCCTGCTTCTTTCTCTCCTATCCTTCTTTACATTTTTCTACCACTTTTCAATACAAAGATCTGAGTTCTTGGGGCTTTGAGGCCAGTAGAAGCTTGCGAATGGAAGAAAAATTATAATTTGTTTAATTTGGTATAATTTTTTTGTTTGCCCCGATATTTTCAGGGGAACTCAATTGGTCCAACATACTAGTCAAGGTTTATAATATGCAAAAAAGTGATAATTCCTCTTTCAGGCCAACTTTGATGAGTGCATTGCTGAAGTCCATCAATTTGGGGTGTTGAGGGCTTTTTATTCCACAAAAGGAGCCAGCTCTGAAGTGTTAGAGTGCAGAGTTCTTTGATATGCTCCTGGGAGGGTTATATTCTGATGCTACATACTAGAAACAGGCAGATCTTCCCTAGTGGAATGTGGTGACTTCAAACTCTCTACTTCCCCTGCCACCATATTCCTCCAGATTGGAAGTCCAGGTTCACTTGTATTTTCTCATGCAGCCTGCCTGGCTTCACTGAAGTGGAGGTGGAAGACCTGGAATAGATTTCCTTTAAACTCCTTCTGCTCTTATTTATTGGGGAACATGATATGTATAAGAGGGAGTCTGTGTAGCTTTTGTACCAAGAAAACAAGATATATTCATCATACACTACAGTTTGAAAACACACAACCCCTTTCCCCTCTAGGGGGAAGATCCCCTAGGAGCAGTCCACTTGCGAGGATGTGTGGTGACTTCAGTGGAGAGCAACCCAGAAGGTAAGAATGAATTTCTGCGCGAGAAAGGAGTGTCTACTCAGACTCCCTCCCCATACCTGCGCATCCTGAGGCAACATCAACCAATCAATCAGGCATAATCCTGCATGAGTATTCTGTCTGAAAACCTGGGAGAGAAGAACTACATGTATTCTCTCCTGAGAGCTGCCACTGTCCTCTAGGCTTTGAGGAATTGGAATGGCTTTCTGGATGCCAGAAAGTCCGTAAGCAATGCTGTGAAAACCCATCCCCTCAGAACTGGCCTAGATGGAGAGGTTGTTAGCTCCTGACACCATGACATCCTGAAAGGAGATCTTCTACTTATCCATCCAGGAAATCCCTCCCTACAGAAGGAGCATTTGTGCAGTGAGGCGGTGTAGTGATTGGAAGGAGCCCCCAGGTTCCGGTTAGGTCTGTGCCACCCAGTCAGTCACCCAACGTTCAGTAAACAAGCTCACTCTGTGGAACATGGTTTCTCTGAAAATGAGGGGCTACATGGGATGAGTCCCTTTCAGGTCACGAGCTTATGACTGACACATGGAATAACCACGTGGCTGCAGCCGAATTTCTCCAGACAGATGGAATCACTGGTTTCATTTTGCCACTTTGGGTTTATAGTGTTATAGAGGTAGACAAGGAAACTCCATAGCTGCAAAGGCTCAGATTTTCACTACACCTGGGTCTTCCACACCCTGCCTCCTAGAATGGTGTTTTAGTTTTGAAGGAGGAAGCTTTTTCATTTGGGATGGATGTTTTAAGTCTTGTTACAGTACTGCTCAGTTTATTGCCTTTTAATCTTTCAGTGGGAGCTCTAAATTGGGCCTTGACAAAAACCTAATACGTCTGTTTTTTGTTTTGTTTTTCTGTGGTACTGGAGATTGAACCCAAGGGTTTTTCACTGAGTTACACTCCAGTCCATTTATTTTTTTATTTTGAGACAGGGTCTCACAAAGTTGCTAAATTGTCCATGCTGGGCTGATCCTTTTGCCTCAGCACACACACACACACACACACACACACACACACACACACACATATATATACACACATGTGTATTTATATTCATTATACTTATATATTATATTTATATTCATTTATATGTATGTATATAAATATGTATATATTAGGGTCAGCCCTTAATTTAGGTTATGAACAGAAGAAATGTACTCATTCAGCATTATTAGAAGTTACTCATTAAATACTATTGGTGAGCAAAGGTGAGAAACTCAATTTACTTATAAATTATAACAGACAATGTTTCTCCTTGAATATTTTACTTATTTCTTAAAAATGTATACATATACATATGGTCATGGTAGGTTCCTATCTATACAAATATCCCATATATATTTATATGATAAATATACACAATTATACAATGTTTATATGTTTGGGAACCACACTTGATGCCTTAGGGCACCAAAAAGAGAAAAATAATAAGCATTGCATGTAGAAGGAGGGCGGGCCAGCTGACTGCCACATGCTTTCTCCTTCACCAGGCAAGAAGAGCGATGAAGAGAACCTTTTCGAGATCATCACGGCTGATGAAGTTCATTACTTCTTGCAAGCAGCTGCCCCTAAGGAGCGTACTGAGTGGATCAAAGCCATCCAGGTGGCCTCACGGACGGGGAAATGAGGACAAACTTGCAGGTCCTCATCCCCTCCTCAGGGAAGCCTGTGGATAAGCTCAGACCAAGACCTGTCCACTTCGGTGACCACTCACCCTGAGGGGCCCCAAGATGGGAAGTTTCGCCTGCATGTAGCTAACCACGTGCTACACGATGTCCATGTGTACTGCCTTGCTCACTGCAGCCTTTCTGCCCTCTTTGTGTCCCCAAACCCTATAACAGGTTGTGTGGTTCACAAAGGCTGTTTAGCCCCTTCAGCCTGGGACCTCTTTTGGAAAGTGAAAGAGGTCCTCCCTAGCTGAGTACCAAAGTATCTGACCCTAATACTATGCAAATGAAAGTGTCTCTCATCGCCCTGCAGATGTCCTCCTTTGTTTGAGTCTCGGCCTTCTGGTCTCCTCAGATGTGCCACAACCTGAGACAGCACCTGTCTTGAAGCTGTTGCCTATCTATACCACGAGCCCTGGGTATAAGCTTCTTCTGCTCTGTTCAGCTGCCTTGTTCTTGTTATTGGCCTTGGGCTCATATAAGGACATGAAGGGGGAACAATCTTCCTAATTCACTACCCTACACAGACACTTCTTGAGAAGAGTGGTGGTTTTTAGCATACCTTCTATTGCTTTTTACTTTTGAGAGAATGACACCAGGGAGCCAGGAGTAGCTGAGAGCTCTTTCCAGGCCCTGAAGTGGCCCAGAGCCCAGAGTTAGATGATTGGTTTATAAATGTCAACACTGAAAGGATTCACATGTACAGAGCTTGTGGTGATGTCTGTCAGCATTGTCATGATCAATGCTCCAGGTCATGATCCTGTGGTTGTGTCTGAGTTTAAAGCACACACAGTAGCAGCTCTCATTCAGCTCTGGGGCTTCATGGCCTTAGAATTAGAGCAACCCGACCTAGATCAAAATGGAAACATACTTACAATTTTTCATCTGGTCACTAACTAATGTGTGATGTTTTACAAAACTGAGAATGATAGTACCTGTAGAATCAAGAATGTGTATGAAGATATATTCTTCCAACTCCAGTTTTAATTTTATGGCCCCATTAAGGAAAGGCAAACAGAAATTTCTTCCTGACTTTACCAGCTCCTCTACTGCCCTCCCTTATTTCCCCTGCACCACTCCCAACGCTGTCCCTAGTCCCAGCTTACTTTGTCAATGGCCCAAAGGTAAAGGACTATCTTCTCTGATTCTTGAGCACATTGGCTTTATAGAATATGCACAGTATTTTTCTACATTCAATATAAAATATTTATTAATATGGAGTCAACCTTGTGTTTTGAAATAAATATGACTTAGTTTAGTGTCTTTTCAGTGTGATGATTGTTTTGCCTGTCATTAATGTCTTTTTTTCCCTACAGCTTACTTTCATTTACTGAGTAATAACACTGTCTTTCATTCCTCAAATCACTTCAATGACTTCATGATTTTTAAAAATAAAAATCTATTTAAAAAATAATAAAACATTCTAAAAGTAAAGATAAGGTTTAAAGAACAGGAAAATACATGGGCAACCTATATCACTGATTTTTAATATCCATCACTTTGATTGCAATGTTTGGGCAAGCAAAGCATCTATTTGGGATGCAGACTATTTACATTAAAGGAAACATTTTCCTAGCAAGGAGCTTCTATGGATAGTTGAACAGAATGTGCACAGTTCGACTCAATTGCAGCCTGGGACTTGCGTCACAGAATTATACATTTGTACACAGTGACCATGCAAGCATTCAGAGCATCACCAAGCTGGGTGTGGTGGTGCACACCCAGCACTGTTATCCCAGTGATGAGAAGCTGAGGCAGGAGGATTATAAATTCCTGCTCATCCTGGCAAATTTAGCAACTTTGTGAAAACCTGTCTCAAAATAAAAAATAAAAAAGGGCTGGCAATGTAGCTCAATGTGAAGGCCATGGTTTCAGTTCACACACACACACACACACACACACACACACACACACACACACAGAGCACCATCAAAGCTTCCTAACGTGTAATTAATTCTTCCTAGTGGGAAAAAGGTGTCCCTTGACAAGGTGGATCTTTAGAGACATGGATGTTATATGTGAACTCTTTGGTTTAGAAATTCAGTACAGGCCCAGTTAGGTAGAGTAATAGGCTGTTTGCAGACAGGATCCTCAGGGATGTGGATGATTCAGTGCCAGTTGAAGACCATCTGAAGCCATAAAGAGAGAATGGTCAGCTTTTATTCAGGATTCCAGTTTAGAATGGGAAGAAAACACATTGTCTAATAATCAGCAGTGGAGGAATTAAGAAAGTATATATAAAGGAGATAAATTTCTCCTTGCATCATGTAAGTGACAATAAGTCAAAAAAGTAGAGCATTCCGTCTGAAAAATCTAACATCCTTCGAGGGAAAAATAGAGGCATGTAAAGTGAGAATCTTACACATACATGTAAAATACAGTTCTGATTTGGAACAGATGCTAAGTTTCTCTTGTAGACACACAGAGACCTGTATACATATATGGTGGCTAAAATTCTACAACTGAGAATAGCTTCTAAAAGTGGAATGAGGAACTTGCTTAGATTGAGGTAAACAGCTTCTCAGTCCTTGCTGCTAGACATTTTAAAAAGTCAAACAGAGCATTAGCATAATTTCCTTTGGATTTTGTGTGAAGCCTGAGGTAGACCATCCTCAATAGCCTTAGGGTAAAAAGAAAATCATGAAAGTAAGTTATTAATGTTTCAGGTTTTATTTTGTGTTCTGCTCTGAATAGTTTCAAATTGTGTAGGGTCTATTAGGAGAAATTATTGAGAAAAGAATAGAAGAAAGAGAAAATTATGCAAGTTTTTATCTTGCTTTAAAAAATAAGGCACAAACTAAGCCCTCAGCTTTGGCCCAGTTTCAGGGCAAGGGGAAGATAAAATTTAGATGTCTCTAGAGGAGAGGAAAGAGGATGGGAGGAGACAACTTTTTTGATACCACATTTGTTACTTAGTTTGAGCTGTGGTAAGTTTCAAGGGAAGATGCACACAGACGCTTGTGGGTCAGTCCTGTGATACTCTTGAAATGCAGTTGTCCTGGAGCCTGGGTCCTCAGATTGGGTTCAAATCCTCGGTGTGTGACTTACTGCTTTCGCAATATCTCTATGTATCAGCTTCTGTGTTAGTCAGCTTTCCCTCTTTGTAACAAACACCTGAGATAATCAAATTATATAGAGAGAAGATTTGTTCTGGCTGCCTGTTTTAGAGGTTTCAGTCCATGGTTGGTCCCATTGCTTTTGGGCTTATAATGAAGCATCACATAATGGTGGGGGGCATATGACAGAGGTAACTGTTTACCTAATGGCTAGGATTTGAAAAAGAAAGGGAGTCTGTGGCCATATCACCCTGAACACACCCAATCTCATCGGATCTAGAAAAAGAAAGGAGGAGGAAGTGGTCAGGGTCCCATTATCACCTTCAAGGGTCCACTCCCAATGACAGACGATATGCTACTAGACCCCACTTCCCCATAGAGCCACACTGGGAACCAAGTCATTACCACATGGGACTTTGGGGGACATTCCAGATCTAAGCTGTAGCAGCTTTTTTATTTTAAAAGTGAAAATAATAATGCTGTTGTTAAGAATAAGTGAAGTCACCTGGCATGGGTGGGCACTCAGCAAATTTTCTTTTCTTCTGATCCCATACTATAGAAGGCATATAAGTCAGTGATTTTTGACTTTTGCTCCATGTCAGTATTGCCTGAGAATTCTTTCACTGAACAAATGCCTGAGCCTTGGCTTCAGGGATTCTTATTCCCTAAGTGTATAATCAGGCCTGTATATTTGTCCTAATTCTCTTCCCTCTCCTTCTCTTCTCCCTTTTCTTCCTAGAAGGGTAATTTTTATCAACATTAAAATTAAGAACTACCAATAAATTCCTTGACTCTCCACTGTTTGCAGTGTAACAGTGTAGCACATGAAGTCCTTAACAAAATGAGCCCAACCACCCTTCTGAAAGAATTTCTCCTTTGCTCACCTTCCACTCTAGCCATATTTGTCTCTCACTTGTCTCTGGGGGATAGGTCATGCTCCTGTAGCCTGACCCACGAGCTCCATAGTCTAGGAATCTAACCCCTGATGCTCTGAATTTTCCATTATTAGTTTTATTCCTACTTCTATGGTAGACTCTCTGCTTCTGAATTTCTCTACCATCTATTTACACCATGCATTTAGCAATAGTCATATAACATGTTGGCTGGCACCATCTACTCTGTTTTCTGTTTTAGGGTTGTGTCTTTGGGATCAGAAAAGTGCCCATGCTTTACAATTTTATCAATTCTTTCAACACTTAGTTCAGTGCTTGTGCATAGTAAGTATACTATATAGCTATTGGAATGAAATAATTATATGAAATCATAAGAAGGTCCTTATATGATCTTAGGGCAATCGATGCTTCCATAATAGTAATTCTGTCTGCCACACCATTCTATCATTTGCAAATAAGAATTCAGTTAAATTATATAACCCTAGTGGGCTAGCGCAGGTCCTAGCTTTTAGTAATGATGGTAATTAAAACTAAAGCACAAATATACAGGGGAAAAGTTTTAATTGGAAAGTTAGAGAGAAGGCAGAAAAGGACTCCAGCTTAGGTAGCTGGCGGGGGCAAACTCTGATACAGGGATTCGGAATGGCCCACCTGCAAAGGCGAGGATCCAGCTTTTAAGGATTAGCTGGTGAGCTGGATCCAGTTTATCATGATTTCAGTCCTTGCATCATAGCTCTGGAATCCTTATGGCTGCGGGATGGTTCTATTTCTGGTAAAAAATTGACCCTGTTTGTGGTGGTCTCTGTCATATGGGACTCTGCCTTTCCTGGAATCCAAGTGATCATAGGTTTAGAACAAGGGCTGGAAGCTTCTGAGTGTAGCCCAGTGTCCCTGTAAACTTCTTATTGTGGGATCCTCAGTCTTGAAGGGGATGAGATCTTATACATTTAGTGTTAACCAATGCTGTGTGGCCAGCTCTTAGACACGCACTCCCTAAATGATCAACGTACCCCTAGGCAGAGCGGAGAAGAGATTTGACCCAAGATTTATAGTAACAAAGGACAAAACACAAAAGTCAAACTTTGTTCTGCTTTGAGTTACCTACTGGGTATCTGTAGGCCCAAGTGAAGAGTCATGGTTCATAGCAAAAATGATTTTTAAATCCCTGCCTATCCCAGAAGCAAACACAAATTAAGTTTTAAATAAGTAAGGGCCCAGCACTCTGCTTGGTCCTGACTGTTATGACTGCATCACTAGGGGATTTGCATCATATTATTTCCATTTTACAGGTGATGTATATGTAGCACAGAGAAATGAAGTGACTTGGAGTTCAAAGTCATAATACATAGTGAGAAATTGTCAGAGTTAGTGCACTATACAAGTCTGGCTGATCCTAGGTGAATACTTTTACCTTTTTTGTTAAAATGTCCCTTTATTTAACAAATGTATTACTTAATTTGAACAACAATCAAGTGAGGCAGTTTCATCTTTATTTTTCAAATGAAGAAAATAAAGTTAACTTGTCCGAGAGCCTTGAGCCACTAGTGGAAGGAGACTCAATGCTAGGTCAGCCTGGCTTCTGAATCCATGCACATAAGCACTCTGCTCTGTGATGGATATACTTGGCTCTTGCCAACAATTGGTTTTCTATCTGGTTGCCACAGGAGTCCTTCTTACAGTGCTCACCACTTGTGTCCTATCAGCTGCAATGTTTCCTGTTGGGCTGCAGCCAGCCATGACACTGGGCCCTAAGCTTTTTTTTTTTTGCTGAAAGGGAAACAGTTAAGGCAATAGCTCCGCCCTGCTGATAATGGTTTTGAGGCTTCTGGGGCTTTTATTCTCTAACATTATGATGCAAAATATTTCCTGGGCTTATTAGCATGTACTATATATATGTATATATATTTGTGCACTCATCTATTGAGTTAGCTTTCCATCACTGTGACAAATTACCTGACAAAGTCAACTTAGAGGAGAAAAGATTAATTTTGGCTCACAATCAGCTTCAGTTCATGAATGAGGTGGCTCCACTGGTTTTAGGTCTTTCAAGGCAGAAACATCACAGGCAGAAAGGTGTGGCAGAGGAAAACTATTAACCTCATGCCACCCAAGAAGGAGAGAGAGAGAGGAAGGGGCGAGGCCCCCAATATAGCCTTTAAGGATAAGGTCTCCATGACTTAACTTCCTCCAACTAGGTCCCACTGTAATAGGCAGGGCAAAAAAGAACTTTAAAGGGCAGATTTTTTTTTTTTTTTTGTACCAGGATGGAACTCAGGACCTTGCGCTTGTGAGGCAGGCAGTGGCAC